TTTACATGCTTGAAAGAAAGAATAAATCAATCAAAATCAAATTAATCAATATTCCTGGCGATGTAGATTTATTGTCCTCCTTGTTACTTTTTCAACATCCGCTTTTGTGGCATTGATGTCTTGATCGGTCTTCTCTGCGTACTGCGCTGCACGCTCTGCTTCTCTCCACTCCCGCTCAAAGCGCTTTTTACTCTGGTGTGCAGAAAGAAATGAAAGTCCACGTTAGGTTCATCCTGCTAAGTGAAGTCACTGTCTGAATGAAATATGAGGAGATGTTTTGTTTTTTGTCTTTCTACAAGAGAAAAGGGAGGTTCTGTAAGTTCTCTAATCATCACTACTTACAGTAGGTCTTGGATTGATTACACCAATCTACTGCAAAATGGGGAAGCGCTTTCCACTGCGTCTGTTTTTAGTCTAGGCTATTAGAGCCACCTGACCAACCACACTGAATGTGGAGCCATTCTTTTACAAATACTTCTGCCTTTCCTAATGAGCAGAACACAAAGAAAAAAGGAAATATATACTGTAGAAGCCTTACTTATTTTGAGAGGAAATGCTGTTTGGTAAATTAAGCATACTGGATTCCTCTTCTGATGAAATGCATTTTGGGAACTCTATTAAATTCGTATCAACATACTTTACAGCCACATAATAAAATCCAAAGGTAAAATGAAATAATCAGATTCAGACTAATAAAAGACTATTATCATAAAATAAAATGAATTACATTGAAAACAGCAAAGATATTAAAAACAATAAATACACATATAATGAAGAAATTTACAAACAAGATTTATAATCAAGCTTTTAAAATTCTGAGACTACGCTTACATTGTCAAGCTGCTTATAGGTGCTCTCCAAACTCTGCTGGGCCTTCTTGGCCTCCATCAGGTACTGCAGATATTCATAAAAACAGACAGCGTGAGAGGAGGGTCAGATGACAGCCATGTGCAGGGGCAGACACAGAATAAACTACAACATCATAAAGACACATGACATAAACAAGAAACCAAAAATCTGTGCGTCTGCTTGGAACGTCACATCTGCAGCACGAGCCTGCACACGGCAGCAGTATTCTGCAATCCAATGGGACAGAGCCAAAGCATTCCTCATAGCGACACTGCACACCACTGCTCGGTCCGTGCCTGCCTCAGGAGACACTAAGTAAGGCTTCCTTCCTGCCACAGCAGTGAGATCGCTATAGCTCCATTCCTCCTTTAAATCATCCCTCTTTACTCCTCCGGCCCTTTACACTCCTCAGCAGTGTGTGCTGTATATTTAAAATTACAAAATTCATCTGGCATGAGCATAGTGCTGTACCAGTGTACTGTATATACTGCAAAACCTCAGGTTTCTGTTTATGCCATTCATACATGAAACTAGTGAAATAAAGCCAAAAAAGGGTCCAAAACCCCATGACAACGTAGTAAAAAACATGCTAAGTTAAATTCATTTTTGGTACACCGATTGGTTCACAGATGGATTTTAACCCAGTGCACTCCTGGTCGTCTCTGTATCAGTCTCACCGTCTTTCGCTCCTGCTTCAGCTCTTGCAGGTACTTGGTAAGATCGATGCAAATGTTCATCATCATGTTCTCAGCAATTAGCTCTCTCTGCCCAGCGTAGTCATTCATCTCATTCAGGATGTCCAAAAAAGATTGGTAGCTGGACAACCTACCATTTAAGACGAGGAGAAAGGAAAGGGTGGAGAAATAAGAAGAAAGTGATGGGGACACTGATAAGATGATAAACACACCGGCTCAAAGAGCAGTGAACGCTGAACCAAGTTGTGATAAGAAGCTCAAGACTTCCTTAGTCCTGTTTCCTTTTAGGGGCATTTAAATGGATTAAACAGCAACACCACACTACAGTGTATGTGACACTAATAACACGCTGATTCCTATCAGTTTGAAATGGTTTATTAGTGAATTTCTGAGTTCTCCTTTGTTAGTTCCCTCAGTGAATGCTTAATAAGCTATAAAGGCATCAATTCAAATGGGCTCAGTAAGCACAGCTTTAGTTGACATTGCTTTGCAGCTTAAAACTACAATAATGTAGAGTGCCAGAGTTACACAGCAGCATCATTCATTATTAGGAGTTGTGTTTATGTCTCTCTCTTTTAGGCACTAGCTGTGTGTGTCTGCTGTTTGGTGCTGAGTAGGTACTGTACCATGGGTTTTTAGGGTTTTTCTTGTCTGAAAACAGGTGCCTACTTTGGTTAAAAATTATACTATAAGAGCTGTGAGAGTGAAACTAAATAGTAAAGCTGCAAGTCTGGCAGCTAAACAATGAGCTGAAACTCAAATAGTTCCAATCATGAATCTTTTTTGTGAAAGACTTTGGACAAAAACCCATAATGCCTCACCTGCACTCTGGTTCATCTTTGTTGCTTCGCTTTAGGTTATGTTTCTTTGAAAGATTCCTGTGGACAGTGATAGTGTATCAAACAGTCTGTAGACAAATACTTATCAACAAATTATCACTGAGAAATGGTTTTAAAAAGCTCACTTGGCTGTTTTATACAGTAGAACTAAGAACAAAAGTCCCCTATGAACACATTAAAATAGCTGTTCTTCCTTCTTGCAGTCTCCCTCTGACCACATCCTGTCTATCATGTGCCAGTCTGCTTCCACTTCCTCTCTTCTACAGCAAAACTCAGCGCCACAACGGATTGTGGGCCTGCGGACTGGGAAACAACTGGGAGAGGGAGCACCGTGGATGAAGAAAGAAAGAGCATGAGAACGTGCACACTGCAACCGGAGAATGAGGCCAGTGTTTCATAGACAAGTTTCATTCTGTTCCCAAGTGGTCATAAGACTCCACAAACATTTCATAACTAGCCTTTTTACCATGCACCCATGCAAACACACACTGACACGAGCTGCTGTGAGCAACACACTCACACAGAAGCACTTGAGGCAGATAGCACAAAAAGAGCAATGACAAAAGGGAGGCCTACCTCAGTTGTTTGGCATAGTTTTGCTCAATCTCTGTCCTCTCCTTCACAAATTTCACATACTTTTCCACTAGCTCCAGGCCAGACTGTGTGTGCTTTTCAATGATGTCATATTGGTCCTGGAGAAAGGAGCATGCAAGACAAATAAGGACAATATATTAAGCCAACATACTGCAGGATATGGAACATGTGTTAACATCTGGGAAATAGCCGGATTGTTTCTCTGGTTGAGTTTGGGGTCATCTGCAAGAATCTTGAATGAATGGCAATAAACTATCGAGGTAATAAACATCACGTTTTGCTCCTGCATGGCGGATTCCACAAATGCTCTCCACATGTGCACAAGATCCTGGCGATAGTCTCTAACCTTCCAGCTTGTTTTAAGTCATGGGGCACCCGTGCTGCTTGAGAGAGAGGACAATCAAAGGACACAGGGTCACATTAGAGTCATAACTCTCAGGCAGGAAAAAAGGAGGTCGTCTTCTCTTACTGATTCTTCTGTACTGTGTGGAATGAGTCCAGAGAACATTGTTACAAACTATGAATTACATCAAATAAGCTTTATAGAGCCCTTATTAGTGTAGCTTTTTAACCTAGTTCATGTCTAGTTTCAAATTCCTAGCCCTCTGGCAGAGTACAATCAAATTTGTGGATTTTTCTTTTTATATTGTACAGTATAAAGGAGGTAGAGCACTTTATAAGACCTTCAAGCTCAGACAAGCCTGCTAAAAGTGAGACATGATATCTCAGCCAATCTTCCCTCACTCAATCTACACTCTGAACAATTCTCGCAAGATTTCTTTGCTGCTGACTTAAGTATTGAGATCAGGGACTATTTGAAAGAGGGATTCCTGACAAGTTGGGCCATGTTCTTCTGTACTCTTCCAGCCCAAGAGGTAAGAAATAAAGAGACAAAAGCCAAAAGAATGAAACTGCATTTAGCAGAATTACAGAACACTGTTAAAGCAGAGGCCAGTAAATCCATCAGTACAATAATGTATTTTTGGTTACTTGGGGGCAGCAGAAACAAGCTGTGAACACAACACTGCTATATCTATACCGTTTATTCCGGAATAGGGCTGCGGGGAGGCTGGAGCCAATTTCACTGGGTGAGAGGCAGGGCAGATTATGTTATTCATGTCAAAAATATAAACAAATAAATAAAATATAATGTGGAGAACAACTGTCCTGAAATGTATTCACCTTAAAAGTAAAAGTGAATGACTTAAATTCAATCGACCCCACTTTACTGGCAGGACAGAAAACCTTTACTGGCCATAAAACACACTAGATTCATAACTGGGTAAAATCTGTGTGTCACTTTAACCCGAAAACTAATTTGTTTTACCAAGTAAACCAATAATAACCCTATACCAAAGTCAGCGGGAATCAAAATGCAACTGAACTGGTAAGGAGTTAGTAAGAATGACTAACTGAAAGACGTACAGCCTTTAACATACTGTACAGCGGCTGTCGGTCAAGGCCTGGGGTAGTGCCAGGTCTCACTAGTGCTTCCCTCAGCTCTTAGGCAATTTGTCAGACAAGTGTCTCATCTGCATATTCAGTGACTAGACTGCTGAGCAGCCTGTGGCGGTGTGCAAACAAAGGTCAGCTACAAATTAGCCTGTGTGTAGGTTTATCAATGGGGCCAAACCAGTATCCTGTTGACATAATCCTAATGTATCTGCCAATATCGAGTCCCATTCCAGTATTATTTACACAACCATTTTTTTTTATCCTCCCCATTTATTATCATGATATTAGGTACATCGCTGAGTATAATGCAGTCAAGTACAACACCACCTTTATCTATGACCTTAATAATCAACATATAATCAAAATGCTAACCTTCTGACAAATTCACCACAAAGTGAAACATTATGAACTTCATAAACATAAATGTTATTGTAGGGCCACTGTACTGGACTGCACATACAACCTGGACCTAATGAGTGAACAACACAGTAAATGTTATTGTAGGGCAGCTGTACTGGACTGCACATACACCTGGACCTAATGAGTGAACAACACAGCTGCACAGTGCTTATATGATTATTTTAATGTTCATCACATATCAGGTAAGATACACTGGACAAGTGATCACTTCATCATTAAAAGGCTCCGTGGTTTGCTGTCCTCCAGTAATCTGACAATCCACACACTTTAAAAATATGAGATATAGATACATATGCACATAATTAATATAAGATGCAATATAGTTTTGGATGCTGCATTGCTGGAAAAGAATAACCACTGGATGTCCTCTCACTATGAGCTCAAAGAGTACAAATAGTGGCATCTGATAATCTTAATAAATTTGTTGTGCTTAAAATCATTCAGAACATCTTGAAGGGACATATTCAGTGTCTCATCAAACAGCACTGGCTGAAGGACTGCTGCAATTTTTCACCATTTAAAGCCAGAGCCAAAATTATATTTTATAGGTCCCCATAGAGTGGGTCTGTACTGAAATCAAGTTCATAAATCATAAATGAAATTGCTCCTGACAACTTTCCATGTTCCTTTTTTTTTAATTTCATTCTGACTTCTGCCCTCCATTCCTCTATTTCACATACCTTGAACTATTTTTACTTATTGTAACACATTCCTTTGGAACATTTGGTAGCATCAGTAGCATTTTTTTTCTCCTACACTCATTTCACAGTTTTTGATGGCTTCAAATGTCTCGTCTCAACCCAGCAAGCATCCAATCTTCCAGTCCTGTATATTTAATCTTCCAGTACTTCCACCACAGAGAAAACTGGCATCAAGCAAATGCCACATAACTTCTAAAGCAGTCACCCTGAAAGTCACTGACCTACAAGGCTTGGGTGGATGTTTCAGTCCTGAGTCATCCTGTCTTTAGAGGCCTGGCCCAGCCAGACCTGGCGCAGTAGTTCTCAAGAAGGGCCTGGTAACGCTCACTATCACAGCTAATGCCTACGTAGACACTGATCAGATGTCATACAAACTTGGGCCTTAAAATAGCCTTTGGATTAATGAGAGTCAGGGGATAGATGTCACCGCACTGATCCTGGCCCAAGACATGACTCTCCAGCCAAACACTAAGAGAACCAATTATGGCTGCAGGGCTTTGTGTAATGTTTTCAACTCTGAATAAATCATTTGTATTTCACATTAACTGAGGTCAGAATACTGGCTTTTGAGTGAAGAGATTCTTTAAAACCAGTGGAACAATTTCATGAGTTAAACAGAAAACAGCCCAATAAAGAACAAGAGCCACTGATTAATACTAGGATGCGGATGTTTCTCTGACTCCAGTCGAAGTAGGGCAAAACTAATTAGGTTGTTGCACCAACACATGCAATGAAAAAGGGACAGTAAGAGGCCTAAGGGGGGGGGGACTCTGTATTGAGGTCACAACCTCTTTGCAGTGCTCCATTTTACATATTCTGGTTCCCTGAAAATATGCATATGTGAGTGTTTGTATGTGTGCAGTAAACCTCCACGGTTCAGTGGACTGGCACTGTGGCAGGACGCTGTGTTACATGGAAGTAGTTTATCATTACTAGTTAGAGACTGTAGCACTAGGATTTGAACTAATAAACAACTTGTGTTGGTACTGAAGGTACAGGTCAACTTTACCCAATGTGAAAAGAAAATATAATAAATCCTTAGCTATCAATGTATGCAAGCAATCAGTCCAACAAATGGCTGCTTCATATCTCAGTGGAAAATCTTCCTCTCTAGAAATGTGCGGACTGAGTGGTGAACAAATGATCAAGCCACTGTGGTGGAAGCAAAAAGTACTTCATCAGCTTGTTGTCAAGGCAAATGACAGCGTCTCATTTCATCACTATGGGAGCAAGGTGTGCCAAGGTGTAAACAGTGAAACGTCCCACTAGGTACGACACGCACCAGCATACTTTGTATATGCAAAATGTGACACCATTGTTAGCCAGGCAAAAAAATCCATAGATAGGCCTTAACAAAGTGGACTTTCAGGTTGTACTCCTAGGAATAAATATGACTAGCAGCTGGCGGTTCATTCCTGAAATTAAGTAAACAAAGAGAGAAACTGACCAATTTGTTTACAATACAATTTAAAGGTGTTTGCATCGTGCACAATAGGCTGCATTTCCCACTTACATCTTTCCTGTAAATAACGGACTAAAAACTGACGAACTAACTAACTAACTAGAGCAAGTACTGTCTAACTAACAGTAAACTGTGCTTCATCTTCCATAAGATACTGACAAATGGGCTTCTGCTAAACCAGTCTTTGTTTGAACTAAGACAACTGTCCGAAAATGGAACCGTGTTCATGAACGCACCGTTTTGCAAAAACAAGCAAGCCAACGTTTCACCGCTTTTGCAGATTATTACTCCACACTAATATGATTTATAGAGCAAGTACTGTCTAAGAAATGACACTATTGCCATAGAGACAATGTTGAAGCATGGCAGATATGGACTCACCCAAAGCTCTGTGCCCCAGTCCATGTTCAGCTTGTTGTCCAAGCTGTCTGTCCCGAATACAAAGAACTTCTCCAAAGTTATCCCAGCGGCTCCGAGGACAGCCCTGCCAAGTAGTTAGTATTCCGAGGTGATAAATCAGTCGTAAACACAAAGAACTCCGGCTTTGGTTCATTCAACAAACAATGTAAACAGGAATCATAATTATCTGATCATCTGATGCTGACAGCCGTCAATCTAGTTCGTCCAAATATGTTTCGTAGCAAAAGAAAGAGCTCAACTAGTCCTCATATCCGCGTCACTCCCAAATCCTAAACCTTAAAGGGGAAGTGCGCTGAACCATGCACGATACTGGCCACATCCTGACAGTTTGAAACCAAGCGTGTTAATCTAACGTCACCAAGTCTCCCTGGACAAGCTGCTGCTCTGTGTTGGCTGGTAGGACATTAAAGCTTCCAACATGAATCAGCTGATGCTGTGACGCTGGCACATTGGCCAGTTCACACAGTGGAAACGTCATTCATGCCACGATGGCTCGTAAATCAGACCTGAACCCCGTTTCTGATACAAATAATCCATAATAATCCTCATTTTTGTCTGAAATTTAGATGCATGTACAGCACTCATTCTGTTTCACTTTTCAAAATGATTTCTTTTTCCCACACCCAACATTGTAAGATTAGAATGCAAATTAAAGCCCTGAAAATAATCAAGGCTACAATGTGAAACCATAAAAATGACAAATGTATAATCGTTAAATGGATTTGCTTTTACGGAAAGGTAAAATGAAATGAAGAGATTCCAAGTAGAACTCGTTAACACAGGTAACAAGGTAACTTTATTAAAGATCAATCAGGCAATGTTAAAATATATTTGGAAAATCTGTGGTGCTAATTAGTACCTCAGCCCCATAACAGGCTTGTACAAAAGACAGTCTATTCTGGTGCAAACATAGACCATTACTATACCAAATTCCTAAATGAACTAACAAAATTTACAGGACATGCATGATAAATGACATATATGACTGTGTTTTTAATCCCCAGGCTGAATTAATCTTACATATTCAGCAAGTAATAAACTGAGCTAAGCTTTTGCATCTTCAAACTTACTCAAAGGGATATTGTTATTGATAAAAGAATATTGTCCACGCTTTTTACTGTTTTTGTAGGCAATGGTCACAATGACCACAAGGATGGCGAGGAGGATACAAATGATGGACAGCAGGATTAGCCACCAAGGAACAGCTGAGACGGTTTTATTGGGTTCACCTATAAGACAAACAAGATGAAACAGCAAAAGTTGAAGGTGTTCTTCTCACTTTTTAACACCATTGTTGTTGTTTTTTTTATTGCAGCATCAACTTAAGTTACCACTTCACTGTTTAGACTCAGATCTAATCTACAAACATACATCTGTGTACATTAATGTAAAACTGATGTTAGCCTGGGATTGGGAGTGGCAAGAAGATAAAACAGACGAGAGGAACACTCACCGTGCGCATCAGCAGTGTAAGGTGCTGAGGTTGTAGTAGGGACCGGCTCTGGTCCTTTTGGTACTAGGTTCTTTATCATGTGAATGTGGATTTGTTTAGTTATGTTTCCCAGATAGTTGGTAGCAGTGCAGGTGTAGGTTGCACTGGTGTTTACTTGAGGAATAATCAGACTGTTTGTGCTCTCTGACATAGTCATGCCATCACAGGTCCAGTAAAAGGAAGGAGAAGGTTTGCCCTCAGCTTCACAGGTCAGGGGAACATCATTACCTTCTCTCACATAGAGGTCAGCAGTTTGGTTGTTGAGCTCAGGAGCATCTGAAGAAGCAGATGTAGTGTTTTTAATCACTCAGATATTGTTTGTTGAATTGGTTGAATATTAAAAATTGAAAATAGGTTGTGTTTATCTGTAAACAGCAGAATGTTTACTCACAGTGCACAGAAACACTGTGTGTGTTAGACGTTACAGGAGTTGGTGGTCCAAAGTCCATCAGAGCCTCACATTTAAACTGAACTCCATTTTCTCTTCTGCTGATGTTGACTGTCAGGGTAGAGGACTCATTGACTGGTGTTTTGGTTTTGTTGGTGAAAAAATCAGTCTTGATGATTTGATGGTCTTTGTACCACCTCACAGTGAGGTTCTGAACAGGAGCGACATTGATGATGTCACACCGCAACTTATACGTTTCACCCTCCATCACTGGACCATGAGTCACTGCAGAGACTGTCACAGTGTCTGGATTCTCTGTAGATGAAGCAGAATGGTAAGAAAGTAATGAAGTAATGATATCTTTAACACTGTTACAACAATTTTATGAGAACAGTTTGCATACACAGATGTACTAGCATTAATAAACTTGTTGTTGTTTTGTACCTGAGCCCATTTCATCTCCACATACTGTAAAAATGCCAACAGATGTGTTTGAGGTATTCCAGGGTATTGAACATAATCATATCTGCTATATTTACTTTTCTTTTAAAGTGGCACTCTTAATGTGTTATAAAGACTTTCTGTAAGTAATAGACATCATTTATGTCACTATGTCAAGCTTTTTATAGGAGAATTCCTTCGAGATGAAAACTGAAGATAATGTATGGCACATTTTGATGACTTATACTCACTATAAACAGTGATAGCTGGGCTCTCGAAACACTGGACACCATTCTCCAGATTAACAAAACACATAGGTTGTACAGTCCAGTAGATAAGTTTTTCAACCATCCAGGTGACCCAAGAAGAATTTTTCATTCCTGTGGCTCCAACTGAAGCCTCCCAGCCCATTTCAGAAATATTTGTGGCTGATGTGGTGCAGTTAACTGAAACTTGGTCTCCAAATCTCACCACAAGTTTAGGAGGCATCAGTGTTATAAGGCAACCTGCCATTCAAAAGTAAACAATATCAGTAATTGTTTATGTTGGTACACCAAAGATAGGTCATCGACAGTAACCTAAAAGTTGATAAACATTCATGATGTATTGATGTGTACTTTTTGGTTTTGATGCCACCAGTGATGTCATGGTTGTAGCAGGTGATGTCATGGTGTTCCTTATCACATGAATGTGGATTTGTTTAGTTATGTTTCCCAGATAGTTGGTAGCAGTGCAGGTGTAGGTTGCACTGGTGTTTACTTGAGGAATAATCAGACTGTTTGTGCTCTCTGACATAGTCATGCCATCACAGGTCCAGTAAAAGGAAGGAGAAGGTTCGCCCTCAGCTTCACAGGTCAGGGGAACATCATTACCTTCTCTCACATAGAGGTCAGCAGTTTGGTTGTTGAGCTCAGGAGCATCTGAAGAAGCAGATGTAGTGTTTTTAATCACTCAGATATTGTTTGTTGAATTGGTTGAATATTAAAAATTGAAAATAGGTTGTGTTTATCTGTAAACAGCAGAATGTTTACTCACAGTGCACAGAAACACTGTGTGTGTTAGACGTTACAGGAGTTGGCGGTCCAATGTCCATCAGAGCCTCACATTTAAACTGAACTCCATTTTCTCTTTTGCTGATGTTGACTGTCAGGGTAGAGGACTCATTGACTGGTGTTTTGGTTTTGTTGGTGAAAAAATCAGTCTTGATGATTTGATGGTCTTTGTACCACCTCACAGTGAGGTTCTGAACAGGAGCGACATTGATGATGTCACACCGCAACTTATACGTTTCACCCTCCATCACTGGACCATGAGTCACTGCAGACACTGTCACAGTGTCTGGATTCTCTATCAAGACAAAATTATATGTAAGGTTTTTGTTTGTTTGTTTTTGCTGCATAATATTGATAGAAAGTTACACTTACTGTAAATGGTGATTTCAAGGTCTTTGCTGCATTTATCATGCTCATTCAGACTTATATTGCACCTGGCCTTTACATTCCAGTCTGATAATGACACTTTCCACAACACATAATGTAAATACTCTTCCACTTCAGCGACTTTTTCATTCATTTCATTTGTCCAATACATCTCAGCAGGTATTATATCTGTGCTGGTGCAGTTTACTATGGCCTCCTCTCCATATTGTCTTATAACCTTAGGAGGGTCCAGGACGAGTGGGTTATCAGTGCAAAAACTGACCACATCTGTTGACAGACAAAACAGAAATGTTCTTATTAGACTTCAAAACTAGACTTTGCTGCCCTCTGGTGGTTCAGGTCACTAATGCATGTCTCATACATTGGAAATGTGTAAAGCTGAATTCAAACAAAAATGGTAATTTGAAACATTTCAAATTAAGGATCACCATGTTTAAAACTACATTATGTAACTTTTTTCAAACATTTTTGTTGTAGAAATATACTCCAAAACTCGTCTCAGTGTGGAAAGCTGCTGTCGAAGCCTCCTGTGACCCAGACTCATTGAACAGCACAGGCAGAGACATCAGCTTCTAGAAGGTTTTGAGTGGGATTGACCTCTTTAACCAGTCAGAGGTTTGGAACGATTTCTGCTTGATCGGTAAGTCTTATTGCATTTTCATAATGACAAATATCTGAAGAGCTGGACAGAACTGGCAGAGTGTCGAATCATAGCAGAGCAGGGAGCCGAGTGGACTGAGTTGGAGTTTCATGTTAGTGCTCCCTTAAGTTACTACATATACAATGATCAAGCTAAAACTTTAAACACGTGTAAGAAATATTTTTTTACAAACCCTTACCAAAATGGTTCAATTATTAACACAAACACTCCGAAAAGCGAGGGGCAGGGGGGAGAAAGACAAATGCAGCTCTGCCGCTTATTCAGACAGAAAGTTGGACAAATGTTTAAATACTGACAGCAGCATATATAATTCAGTTCTAGTACTACATAGTATTTATTTTTAACAAAAAAGTCCATCTACTACACATGCTCTATGCAGCTAGCGTGGCTTATACCAGTCAACTGTCAGAGTGCAGTGGAAGTGTTTTTTATTCTGTTATAAGGTGAAAGGCGTTGTGAAGGCAATATTCACTTTTGTCATCCTTTAGATGATCACTAACAGATTCTCACCAAAAGAAAGGTACTCTATTAAATATTATTATACTGTACAGTGCCATCACCAGTAACATGTGCAGCTACTGCAACTAAAAAATCATGAAACTACAGCATTTTATATCTAGTCACAGCATAACATAGAATAAATGGCCTTATACTTGCATAGCACCACACTCAAAGCACTTTCACACAATTTTTCCAATCACTGGAAAAGCCCGGAATCAAACCACCAGCCTTCCAGTGAGGACACAACTCATTCTTCCTCCTGAGCCACAACCACCCCAAGTATAATATTTAAGACCCACATACAGATATAGAGCATTGTTATCACTCACCATGCAGTAAGAACACAAGAATGAGAAGGCCCAACATCCTCAGAGACATGATGTTAGATCAGCATAGGACAGATAAGGTGTGTTTCTAGAGGATGTCCAGTTTCAGGACCTGGATTAGATCTATCCTGACCCTGACGCTGATGACCAGCTTCTGACAGTTACAACACCCAAGGAGAGGGAAACTGTCAGTCTACAAGGTGGAAATTCAACGCCCCAATAAACAGGAAGCTGACTGTAAAACGGAAATATGACACCAAAACCACAGGTCTTAGTAGAGCAAGTGTAGACAATATTCACTGAATCTTTTCACATATGTTTGTAAATACCTTCATACAGGAAAGATTTTGGCATAATTTTATTGAAAAGTACATTGCAAATTATTCATTTTTTTCTACCACTTAGTCCCTGAACGGGGTCACCGGAGCCAATTGGGCGAAGGCAGGGTACACCCTGGACAGGTCGCCAATCCATCGCAGGGCTAACACATAGACGAACAACCAAACACACGCACTCCTATGGGCAATTTAGAGACACCAATCAACCTAAGCTGCATGTCTTTGGACTGTGGGAGGAAGCCGGAGTACCCAGAGAGAACCCACGCAAGCACGGGGAGAACATGCAAACTCCACACAGAAAGGTCCCGGGTGGGGCCCGAACCCAGAACCTTCTCGCTGTGAGGCAACGGCGCTAACCACTGTGCCACCGTGCAAATTAAAAAACATCAAATTGCAACACAGAGAACAGACATGTCAGCTCAGTAGGTGCAGTACATGTTAGTCATATGCACTGATTCATAGTCCACAGTTTGCACCTCACTGAATGGCCCCTAGTAAACATGTAGACAATATTTTTAAACAAACACTTTAACATTTTTTTATTCCCTCTACACATACATAGAATCACACTGTATGCATCGTCTTTCCTTCTCACATGTCCATTATGTGGGTTTGATCATCATGGCCACTCTTTTGAGAGAGTACGACCCCCCATGGAACTCTGCCCAGTAGACTCCGTCCTGATAGCGGCTGCGATAGTGTCCACCCCGATACCACACACCATTCAGATTTGAGTGGGCACACATGTGGTACCACCAGCCTCCCTTCTGGTAATGTGCGCAGTTCCCTGATAACACAACCAAAGGACAGAGAAAGTTATTAACAGCATGCCAACAGAGAGCTAGCAAACAGGGCCAAGGGGAGAGCAAACCGTTATAGCTGTCCTTGTCTCTGTCCAGAGTGGTGAATGCCTTGTTGTTGTGCCATGACAGGGAGTCTCCTGCATTGCCCTGGTATTGTCCTAAACGCAGCCGGTACCAGTCACTCTCTGGTTCCAGGTGGAATCTGTCATAGTCAGCAAACACCTGTCGGCCCTGCCAGTCCTCCAGAGCCACTCGTAGCTTATACCGAGCCTGTTTAGTCAGCCAGTAGAGATGCTCCAAGCCAAGCCAGTACTCTCCATCTAGGTTCCCAAAGCCTTGCTGTAACACACAAACACACTAGTTTAACTACTTTCTACAGACACGAGGGATTTTGCCAAATTTTGGTGATCCCCTGTTTTCCTCTAGCACTACGAGCAGTTCAGAGTTTTCACCGTCAACATCTTTTGGATGGACTGGCACAAACTTTTCTACAGACACTCATGGTTATCAGATGATGAATGCTACTTTACTGATCCTCAGACTCTTCCTCTAGGTTTACATTTGTGTATTTAAGGGAAATGCCTCATCAACTATTAAATGAATTGTCATGAAAAATTGTAAACACATTCACTCTCTGCATGTTATTGTGTTTGTAATGCCTCAACTTGTCACCTAATCAGGTCAAAATGTCAGTTTAACCAAATACATGCAAAACTAATGACAGTATGTTGTGTTTAGTGCAATGTAAATGAGCATGAAACCACCTTATACTGCTCCCAAGTCCTAAAGAAGTTGACCGACCCGTCCTGTCTTCTCTGAATGACCGTCCACCCTCCCTGAGCCTGACTCTGCTCACACCAAGCCTGCAGGAGGCGGTTGTCACTCTGAGGGCGAAGCAGGTAAATCCCGCTGGTGGTCTCGCCTGATTCCAGCACATGCTGACAGTCCCGCCACGGGCCTAGGTCAGGAGACAATATTCAGCCAAGCGAGGGTGTGAACAGTGGTGGAAGAAGTACTCAAACTTTTTACTTACTTAAAAGAAGCAATACCACAGTATAAAAATACTCTGTTACAAGTAAAAGTCCTGCATTCAAAATGTTACTTAAGCAAAAGTACAAAAGCATTATCATAAAAATATATATAAAGTACCAAAAATAAATGTATTTATTTTGTAGAATGGCACAGTTTACATTAATATCTATCATATTATGGGATTATAATTATTGATGAATTATTGTGTACATCACATTTAATGCCGCTGCTAGTAATGGTAGAACTAATGTTTACCTTATGTGCTTATAATCTGAAGTATTTTGCATACTACTGGGTAGTTTGTGACTTTACACTGTAAAGTCTTAAGATTATACAGTGTTTTGTTTTATTAATCTCATTCAGAAAAGGTATCAAATAAATGAATACAAAGTACTATATTTTTCTCTGGAATGTAGTGAAGTCAAAGGCTGAAGAAGCAGAAAATGAAAATACTCAAGTATAGATACCTAAAATGTGTACTTAAGTACAGTACTTAGTTAGGTTCCACCTCTGGGGGTGAGAGACATAACAAGGCAAAATGCTGAAATACTGTACAGAATGTTGCAATATAACATTGTGAAATTATTTATTATTAAGAAATATTATTGTGTAATGTGGAAAGTGTAGTATTGAATAATTACTGTGGATAATATTAATGGTCAATAGCTCTCAGTTTCTTAGTCTGGTTTTCATGGTAAACTTTTGTTACACTGGTTTCTGACAGGTTGTTTTGTGTCACACCTAATGGTTTAACACCGACTCCTTGGTGGCTGGAAAAAGGGGAGCAATTTGTGTAATGATTTAGCTGATACACTGCAGCTTCACTTTATTAGTGAAGAATTTTTTCCCGACGCATGTTGAATGTTTCATGTCACAGTGACACAAAGAATGTAGGAATCTGCCCAGAGAAATGTAAACATAAAGAAAGATCCCCCACACCATGTGATAGTGAGTAATGGTCCATCCTGACAAGAAGCTGTACTCCAAGTTGTGTTTGTTTCACAAACAAGATGTGGCAGTGTCTTTCCCCAGACCTTGTCAGAAATGTTAACTCATGCACATAATGAGTCACTTTGGTTCTGCTGACTTGTTGGAAGGATTGCTCAAATCCTTTGCTTTCTCATGTCAAAAGCTCCAGTTTGGCAAGTTTACTGAGGCAGTGTTACTTAAAGCTTCAACAAAGCTTCATATGTGTGTGTGTTCATCACGTTAAAGCCCTCTCTGTTCTGATAAGAGCTGTTAGCTGTTTGTGACATTGTTTAGGTCTTCTCAGAGAGCCGGGGCTCCCACCAGCAGGTCACTGACTCCATCTGCTTCTGCTGCTTATCCTAGTAATTAAGCAACTCTGACAGAAGACTGACACACTTACAGTGCCTTGCGAAAGTATTCGGCCCCCTTGAACTTTGCGACCTTTTGCCACATTTCAGGCTTCAAACATAAAGATATAAAACTGTAATTTTTTGTGAAGAATCAACAACAAGTGGGACACAATCATGAAGTAGAACGAAATTTATTGGATATTTCAAACTTTTTTAACAAATAAAAAAACTGAAAAATTGGGCGTGCAAAATTATTCAGCCCCCTTAAGTTAATACTTTGTAGCGCCACCTTTTGCTGCGATTACAGCTGTAAGTCGCTTGGGGTATGTCTCTATCAGTTTTGCACATCGAGAGACTGAAATTTTTGCCCATGCCTCCTTGCAAAACAGCTCGAGCTCAGTGAGATTGGATGGAGAGCGTTTGTGAACAGCAGCTTTCAGTTCTTTCCACAGATTCTCGAGTGGATTCAGGTCTGGACTTTGACTTGGCCATTCTAACACCTGGATATGTTTATTTGTGAACCATTCCATTGTAGATTTTGCTTTATGTTTTGGATCATTGTCTTGTGGGAAGACAAATCTCCGTCCCAGTCTCAGGTCTTTTGCAGACTCCATCAGGTTTCCTTCCAGAATGGTCCTGTATTTGGCTCCAGCCATCTTCCCATCAATTTTAACCATCTTCCCGGTCCCTGCTGAAGAAAAGCAGGCCCAAACCACGATGCTGCCACCACCATGTTTGACAGTGGGGATGGTGTGTTCAGGGTGATGAGCTGTGTTGCTTTTACGCCAAACATAACGTTTTGCAGTGTTGCCAAAAAGGTCGATTTTGGTTTCATCTGACCAGAGCACCTTCTTCCACATGTTTGGTGTGTCTCCCAGGTGGCTTGTGGCAAACTTTAAACGACACTTTTTATGGATATCTTTAAGAAATGGCTTTCTTCTTGCCACTCTTCCATAAAGGCCAGATTTGTGCAGTATACGACTGATTGTTGTCCTATGGACAGAGTCTCCCACCTCAGCTGTAGATCTCTGCAGTTCATCCAGAGTGATCATGGGCCTCTTGGCTGCATCTCTGATCAGTCTTCTCCTTGTATGAGCTGAAAGTTTAGAGGGACGGCCAGGTCTTGGTAGATTTGCAGTGGTCTGATACTCCTTCCATTTCAATATTATCGCTTGCACAGTGCTCCTTGGGATGTTTAAAGCTTGGGAAATCTTTTTGTATCCAAATCCGGCTTTAAACTTCTCCACAACAGTATCTCGGACCTGCCTGGTGTGTTCCTTGTTCTTCATGATGCTCTCTGCGCTTTAAACGGACCTCTGAGACTATCACAGTGCAGGTGCATTTATACGGAGACTTGATTACACACAGGTGGATTCTATTTATCATCATTAGTCATTTAGGTCAACATTGGATCATTCAGAGATCCTCACTGAACTTCTGGAGAGAGTTTGCTGCACTGAAAGTAAAGGGGCTGAATAATTTTGCACGCCCAATTATTCAGTTTTTTATTTGTTAAAAAAGTTTGAAATATCCAATAAATTTCGTTCCACTTCATGATTGTGTCCCACTTGTTGTTGATTCTTCACAAAAAATTACAGTTTTGTATCTTTATGTTTGAAGCCTGAAATGTGGCAAAAGGTCACAAAGTTCAAGGGGGCCGAATACTTTCGCAAGGCACTGTATATGCACAGGTTTGAATCTAATCAAGTACTTTTGCTAAAAGACATGTTTGACAACAGTGTACCTGGAGTCTTTGTGACAGGGATGCTAATGACAGGAGAGTCCAAAGGAGTGCTGGCTGTAGTGGTGGTGGGGGAATGAACTCCCCTCGTATTTTCCTGCTGTGGTGGAAGAGCACTTTGGTCCCTTTGAACGTCACTGGTCATTTTGTTGGCTTCAGAGCTGTAATTAGGATGCACATTTGACTGGCTCTTTGGTGGCTCAGTTGTCACCTGTCCAGATCCACACAAAACCAACACACCACTCTCAGTTCCTGTGTGCACACCCAGTATAGCAGTGTAACATGCAGACCACAGTTTGTTCCCTACCAGAGTGGAATCCCTGCACTGGCACTGCTTCTCCAGACGAGAGATAAACTGAGTCTGAGAGCTCATCATAGAGGTGAGCGCTCCATATTTCTTCTCCAGCTCCCTGTAATTACTGGACACCTGCAGTGCCTATGATGTTCCACCACCCACAGGAGACAAAAGAATAAGAAGGAGCTTTCCTGTGACATGAATCAAACATCAGCATGAACTGCAGCTCTCAGCTCACCTGCGTTGTGGCATTCAGCAAGAGGTTCTCCACCCTCCGCTGTTCCAGAGCCTGGTCTTTTTTCTGTATGACTTCATGTAGCAGCTGGGTATAAAGCTGGGCAATGCGAGAATTCATACTGTTAATCTCTTTATGCAGGGCTCTTACCTCCATAGCGAGGGCCCCCTCCTGCTCCAGTTGTCCCTGGAGCTTCTCCAGCTGTTCCTGTTGCTGCCTGAGCTCTGCGCGCAGCGCTGCCACCTCCAAATTGTTGGCAGTAGCAGACTGTGTGTTCAAACACAAGGCCCCTGTCAGTTTTTGTTGTGGAACTATGAAGGTGTATGAGCAGCGGCCTCCCTTTGTGTCTGAAGAGTGTGACAAACTTTTCTGAGAGTTTTCTACATTCTGTCCTCCAGCTTCTGGCATGTCCAGACAGAGTATCAGAAAAAGAGTCAGACCTATTGTCAGTGTCTTCTCCATGAATCAGCTGAACTTCTGAGGACACCCTGGCAGGAGAGAACATGATCAAAATGAATTAAATGATTAAAAACAACACATAAATAGCACCTGAACATAACTGACTGAACACTAGAGACTTTGGTACAAAGACAAATTTTTCACTTGAGGAAAACAGTGTTTTGTGCATCACCTGATGTTTCCTTGCAAAGTTACAGAACACACATTTCCCAATGGCTGCAATTTATTACCAGGTCAACACTGAAAGGACAACAGTCAATAGAAACCAGCCAGAATCAACATTCCTCCATCTCATGGTCAACAGATGAGTCATTTCCACATCCAACCACAACTACCATGGTCAACACCATAAACATACAAAATCCAATTATGTCAAAATTAACATCTTACCCCAAAATCAAACTTTTTCAGTGGAAAACATTAGTGTCAACTGTCAAACCACTTTTAATGTTACTGTTTTGAGGAACCAAGAAGCTCATGTTTTCCAGTACAAATGATCAATAGTATGTAATATAATAATTTAGCTAGTTAATGGTTCACTTGGCTGTAAACAACTGTAGATGCAATAACCGGTGGAAGTAGCCTACAATTCATTCTACCTAAAAGTAGACTGTAGTGGAAAGGCCATTCAAAACTTACTGTGTCAGCTGAAAGGTGTTGTGAATGTTGTTGCTCTCTCCCAGCGTGTTGCAGCAGCTCCCAGAATGCAAAAAAATAAAATGAAGACTAACACATTTTTAAAATCACATTAAAAAAGCTTTTAAGTGAAACTGGATGCAGAGCAATTTATGTCACAAATGAATTTCAATAAAAAAAACAGAATACTGTAACATCCAAGTTCAGCAGCTGGACTACCCTCCTCCTCTGGGGATTCTGCTGTGTCAGGACCTCTGAAGAAGGGGACAACTATTTACAAACTATCCAAATCACCCAGTACGTGTGGTTTATCACGGGGCTCAGTGCAGGAATCCCAGGGTGTCTCCTCCCTCTGCCATCAGCTCTCTATCTTGCCACACACTCTATCCCACAAAAGAAAACCAAACTAGTGGGGTGTTTACACCTCACTACTGAAACATTTTAAGTTATAGCTTTTGATTTTTTGGTGAGCAGTTAACATGTCATCCCTGAGATGCATTTACTAAATGTTGCTAAATTTTAAACAAACAACCAGGTTTACTGAAAAAGAGACACATTGCTAATAACAGTAGGTCAGCCTGAAATCTATAGAAGCAAATATCCTGCAGGGACCTTTAGACAACATAGCACATTCATGTGACTTTATCTGGCTAACGTTTAGTGTTAGGTTGTCATGGAAGACGTCTTTGCATTTTTTACTCAGGTAAGAGTGGCAATGCCACTGTCACAAATAAAAACTTTGCACTTAAAGGTTTCCTTAAGTAAAAAAATATTAGCAGCAAAAAGTATTAAAAGTAAAAGTAGGAGTTGAGCAGAATAGCTACTTTCTACTATAACAGGTCTTTTATCATTGGAATGTTGTTTCAAATGTATTAACATGTAAGCAGCATTTTTTTTTCTGTACTGTTGGATAGTTTGATCCATAACAATGTATTAGATTTTATGAGCTCATATGTTTTATAAAGTATGTGAAATCATAATGTGCAAAGTAACTACTAACTGTTGTTGTTCAAATGTAGTGGAATAAAACTTCAACTCAAGTAAGGTACATGTATATGTAACTGTATTTTCTTTCACTGGGTGCAGGCACCTCAAATTCCAGGCTTTTCATCAAAAGCTTCAGTGAAACCTCAAAGTGTGGCACCCGGCCACTTAGTTTTGATTTACATGCAGGATTAGACAAGTCTGTACAGCAGGAGATGAACTAATGTACTCTGAGATCTCTGAACCTTTCACCCAGAGTTTGCTGCAGCAAGGCTTTCTGCTGTATGTCATGTTATAGTGATCTGGCCATTAAGGAGATAAAAAAAAACTATTTTGTGCTTTAAATTTCTGAGCTGAAAATGTTTATGCCGTTGCTCAGATGATAGCACCCAAACAGCACTGTCATTCAGTCTCTGGTGTTGCAACTGAAATTGAAGCCTTACCACCTTTTTCTGGAGCCAATTTCAATTCCTCCTGTCTCCAAAATAAAACTGAATGTGGTGTTGCAGTTCCTCCTTGATCCCCACGTGAAAACAGGAGAGCAATACACTTTAGTCTACATACACTCAGATCTGTTCTTGTACCAGTTTTGTGCTGGCCTTGCTGGCAAACTCATACAAAGCAGTACTGATTGCAGACCTGATCAGTGAGGTACATTACATGGTGCAGGGCCTCATATTGTATTACAGCGTAACTGGGGCTATAAACATTAGTACTTACACAAATTGCCCTACCTTTAATGATATTAACACATTATTAATACATACAATCTGAATTATTCTTATTGAAGAAATTGGGTTGTAGACTCCAGCTGTGACTACAAAAGAACAGTTCCTACCACGGTTTGGTTACTTCACTTGAATGATTTCTTTTAATGATACTACCGGAAGTTGCATGTTACGATGTCTTTATTAATCTGCACTTTACAAATTTAATGTTGGAATTTCATCGCCGTTTCCGCTAGAGGACACTCTTGACTCTAAATGAACCTGTGTTAACAGTCAGCAAATCCATAAACAGTGGTGGACAAACACTGAAAAGATGGAATGTTAATTGCAAAATTGATTGTGCTATACTCGTTATTGGTATAATGTCATAAACACTGTTGCTACTATTACAGTAATAATGAATTGAACTAGAATGTCAACGTATGTTAATAAATAATTGGGTTAGTTTTTATATATATATATGTAAATTGCATGATACTTTATAAGATGACACGCTGTCTATATTATACTGATGAGTGTAACAGAAATGAGTATTAACAGTTCTACATTCCGGAAACTCTAGGAACAATAATCAGATGTAACACGGACACATTAGTGTGTGACACGTGGTGCCAGTACCATGTGGAAGGGGACATGTTGAGTCTGTAGTGGCGCTGTTAAACGGTTGTAACGTTAGATAAAATGTAATGTTTTCTTGCAGCATAAGTAAGTAGAAGTAGTTATTATTTCTCTGTTGCTTAAATCCAGCAGCTCTACATATCGCTGAATTATGGGGAAATCAAAGGTAAGTAACGTAAATGGCCCATGTTAGCATGTTAGCCGTAGCTGAAGGGAGTTTGATGTGGTAGTATTCAAGGGGTTATTCAGTTATTGCTCAGAAGGATTTTGAGCAGTAATTGTTGGTGAATCCGTGATAAACATCATTAGTAAAGGTGGTTGAGTGCCACACATATTTTAATATTTACGTTACTCTGCCTGACACCCTTTAGTAATGGCTAGCTTTTCTACCTAATAGATGTCGTTTTCCAAATAAACGTTCTCATAAACGCATCAAATGTTACTTTAACGTTATTCTTTGATAATATGTGGACACTGCGCTTTCAGACCAAGAACCAGAAAAAAGCCCGAGCAACAGCCAACCATGTGGCCGAGGAGACCTATGGAGCTGTCCCCCACTCCTTCGTGTTTCATCGGGGTCAGATCGGAAAAAATGTGGGTCAGCTCATCCTGGACATGCGGAGAGTCATGGAGCCCTACACCGCAGAGACTCTGAAGGTCCGTGTGTTCGCCTGAAGAAGTACACGTCCATGTACACAACTTAAAACAACCGCTAGATGCTGCTGCTTTGCTGTATTTTAAGTAGAAAGATGTGTGAGCTTTAGTAGTTGCTTTAAGTGTAGAAGGTTTTCCTGGGGTGTTGAATGTGAAAGCATCTTTGTCTTACAGTATCATGCTGCTTCGTGTCTGAACTGTTCTTTTTTCATACCAGGTTAAGAAAAAGAATGTGCTGAAAGACTTTGTGGCAGTTGCAGGGCCACTGGGAGTGACACACTTCCTGATCTTCAGTAAGACACCCAGCAGTATCAACATGGTGAGATCACATCAGTCTATGAACAAATGGCCCTTGGAAGACTGAGCTTTACCATGTAAAGTTTGTATTGTGATGGTCTAATAACACAGTTCTCCCCCCCAACCCCCCAGAGACTTGCTCGACTACCAAAAGGTCCCATGCTTCATTTCAAAGTGCACAAGGTAAACGCCATATGTGAGGTCATGAATAGTGCAATAGATAGATGGGCTCAGATGATGATGTTTTAATTTTTGATTGTTAAGTGATGCTTTTCAAAGTAAACGCACTGATGTACCCAAACAGTTGAAGTCATTTTAAATGTTAAATTTATTTTTACCATTATAAGAATTCTTAACTTTTTCCCCCCAGTACTCACTTATCAAAGATGTGGTTTCATCTCTGAAGAAGCACAGGATGCATGAGCAGCAGTTCACACATCACCCACTACTCATCCTCAATAACTTTGGATCTGATGGCATGCACATCAAGCTCATGGCCACCATGTTCCAAAACATGTTTCCTTCCATCAATGTGCACAGGGTATGTTTGCCAGTTATCATCACCTTGAGAGAGACTTAAAGCTTTGTTGGCATGATGAAAGTATAGTCTTCTGAGTTCCCTTGAAGATTTGTCAAAAGTAAACGCTTTCTGACAACTTAAGGCTTAAACATTTCAGTACAGTCAAAAATAGAGACTCAATTCCAGTAATAAATGTGGGGTTTTATGTTTTTCAGGTAAACCTCAACAACATCAAGAGGTGTGTGCTGCTGAATTACAACCCAGAGTCTCAGGAAATTGAATTTCGACATTAGTAAGTACAAACATTTTATTTATTTATTTTTAGGGTGGATTCAAAGTGCTTCATAGCTGCATGTTTGGCTGTGGCAGCTCTATGATGACGGGGGTGTAATGCTTGGTGATATATCAGACAAGTCAGATTAGTTCACATTTATGTATTTTTGTACGATGTGTGAAGTGTCTGAAGTTAAAAAGTCAGATTTTATTCTTATAACGGCTTCAAACACTGTGTGTGAGCTGTTGCCTTCTAATGTCAGAGTAGTGTCAGTAATTCTTAATTTCTAAAGGAAAATAAAAGTATTAAAGTTGTTTGTAATGACATTTGGGCTCATATGATGACAGATTATAACATGACTGTTAAGTGATGTATGTTCAAAGTAAACGCACTGATGGGCCTCGTCACGGCGATCATGTTTCTGTTATTGATTGATGTCACACTGACCCAAATCATCCTGTTCCCAACCTGCAGCAGCCTAAAGGTAATCCCTGTCGGCATGAGCCGTGGAGTCAAGAAGCTGATGCAGGAGAAGTTTCCCAACATGAGCAAGTTTGAGGATATTAGTGAGCTGCTGATGAAGTAAGGCTCTTGTGAAGGTACAATTCTTGTAGTCCTGGGGGCAAATGGTGCCACAACCAGTCTGTAGCTGCTCTAACATCAGGAGAGTAAATAATATGGGGAATCTTAACCGTTTCAGGGGAGCGAGCCAGTCTGAAAGTGAAGCAGAACAGGATGGGGAGCACAACATAACTGAACTGCCGCAGGTCTACTCTGGGAGAGGCAACATGGCGTCCCAGCAGAGTGCTGTTCGTCTGACTGAGGTGAGTATGCAGAGGGAGTGTAGTGTCTTTGTAAACAAAACTTTGCTGATGTTTGGATGGACGCTGAATTGCAGTTTGTGTTGTCATCAGATTGGTCCTCGCATGACTCTGCAACTGATGAAGATCCAAGAAGGCATGGGAGAGGGAAATGTCCTTTATCACGCCATGAGTGAGTCATGTAGCATTCTTCCATCCTTCCACTTGCTGTTCAGGTGTACATGATGAAAAATTTCAGTATGAATTTTATGATTTGTGTCTAAAAGTAAACGCTTACTGATGCATCTGGAGCTTACTTAGCGTCATGTACTTCTGGCATCAGCGTTTACTCATCTGTTCTTCAACTGGGATTTTGTTGTATTTTATGTTTGCAGTCTCCAAGACAGAGGAGGAAATACAGGAGATTCTGAACAGGAAAGAGGCCCAGCTGAAGGAGAAGGCAGAGCGGCAGAAGAAGCAGGAGCAGAATGTTGCCCAGAAAAAAGCAAAACGAGAAGAGCACAAGTAAGTTGGCCATGAAGAGAATTTAGCCCTTCTGTCATGTCCATTTTCCCTTGGTTGAAGTGTGAACCAGTCTTTTCCCCTCCTAACAGGAAAAAGAGCATGAAAGGCATTAAGCGGAAATGCACTGAAGCTGAAGAGGACAGTGAGGTGGAGGACCCTGGGGTGCAAGATGATCAGGCAGCTGCTGCCGAATCTGATGATGAGGTGGAGTACTACAGACAAGCTGTAGGAGAGGAGCCAGATGAAGGTGAATGTAACTACTGTACTATAAACCGCTAGGTCTTATTGTGAGTATATTTATTGACCGGGACTGTTTTGTGCAGACATGTTTCCTAGTGCCAAGAAGAGGCATGCGTCACAAAAGACTCATGGACCAGCCAAGAAGAGGAAGCTCTCTCCTGGCAAATCAAGAAGAGACAAAGATTCTAAATCGCCAAAGAGAGATGGCCCAGGAGGACGGCACAGAGACAAACCAGGACGAGGCGGGAAGAAATCCAGTGATGGGGAGAAACCATTTGGCAAGAAAATGAAGCCTGGTGGAAAGACATTCAGAGCCAAGAAATCTGGGGATAGCGACAATAAATTTGGGAGGAAGAAGAAATTTGGAGGGAACAAAACATTTGTAAATAAAAACAAGGATAAACTGATCCGTTCTACGGGTCAGAAAGGCAAGCTGAGCTTCAAGAAGAAAGGAGCAAAGCAAGGCTTCATACAGAGGAAGAGGAAGGGGAAAGGCTGAAGCCACCCTTCTCTCTGGATTTGGACAGTGAAATGTGTTGTGAAGCTGAAGCACCAGATGGCAGCAAGAATCTATTTGCTATCAGCACCTCAGCCATGAGTGATTGTTGGTTGTAAAACTTGCTGAAAATCAGAAGAGAAGAAAGTGCTATATTTTCACATTGTATTAATTTTGAAAACATACTTGCCCAATAAATTGTTTGAAAAGTTGTGTTGCCAACTCAGTGAATGGTTTTGTTACTGTCAGTGAAGCCATCTGGGGGGATTGGTAGGAGAATTTGGGGTGTCCTTGATCCTTTTCTCAACTGTAAGACAATAATTTGACATGACCACAACTAACCTGATGTTTTTATTATTCCTTTCCACACCTCTGGAGGTCATTGTAGAAACTCATTGAGAGTTTTTGTTGGTTCATTCTCATTTGAGTTTGTGCAAACATAAACCTAAACCTTTGTATTTAATGTTCTTGGGTTGACAGCAGGTGCTCTCTCTCTCTCTCTCTGCAGTTGTCTTCATGAATTGAGTTGTAAAATGTAGGTCTCTGTCTTTTCTTAGATGTTAAACTGATAAGTGCAGAGTAGGTCTTCACATTTTCAACAAAAATTAGAGGATATGTCGAAAGCAGATACTATAACTATCAGTTGTGCCTAAAGGTAAACCTTAGGGTTTGTATGCAGTATTTATAATTGGTTAATATTAAAGATGAGACTTCAGTAACAAGATTGACAGAGAGAGAAACATTTTCAAGGGGAAGTAGCCAAAGCCGGAAGCTTTATAAAGATAACCAATGACTGAAGATAAGGTTGTTTTTTTTTTTATAGGAACTAACTTCTCGTCTTAATTAGCATAAATCAAAAATGTAAGGATTACCACTTAAGCAAGATGACATCTGTATAAAAGGGAATATGTTTGGAAGTGGATGTAAAACCTTTGATATTTTTAGTATTTTATTACAAAATCTGTTTTAAATGATGGATGGAGGCTTGAACTGCTGCTATGCATGCACGGAAGTGCCCGAAATAAGATGCTGAAGCAACACTGCCCTGATCTCTAAAATATGAAAACACTTGGCACCAAAATATTTAAACAAGTCAAGTCAATGTAAGTCCTTGCTTTATTGCCATTTCAGCATAGTTGATAGGAATTGACTTTGGTGAGCTCACATTTAAAATAACTACAAATGCCAGCATAGGTGACCAACAATAGTGTCAAACAAGTAGGACATAAAAGGAGACTACCAATAATTTAACACCCATGCATCCATCTTCATACACATACACACACACACACACACACACACACACACACCTATATTTAAAAGATATTGATAAAATACAATAAAAAAAACTAATTCCCATAAATAACAAGCAGGTCAAATTAGTAGTAATAATAATAATAATCATTTAAGAGTTAAAGAGGAAAACAGCCTTTGGAAGTGCTGTTTCTGAACCTGGTTGTTTTGGTTCTCAGAGTTTTGGAAAGAATGAGGTATAAAAAAAAAGAAGGTGTGATTAATCTTTGAGAATCTTGCATCTTTCTTCTGAAGCGTGGTTGGAAGCCTGTTCTTTAAAACGTAACCGGAAACATATTTATCACCAAATAGTTTTGCTAATTCGTGGAATGGGTGCATAGATGTGCTTATTCAAATTAGGAAGCTTGTGCAGAGGGTAAGAGGAAGTCACTTATAGGGTTGTCCTTTATGCTCCTCACATTTACTGGCTGACTGCTTGTGCTTAGCTGAGCTGAGCTTTCACACCATCTGTACATATAGTATATCACACAGGAAATGAAGCTATTCCACAGAACAGTGCACTGTAAGCCTGGCATCTGGTAAGTTAACATTCCCATTTCTGATTTTTGACTTGACCTACATCTATGTTAAATGATTTAAAATTAAATTTGCTTTTAAATATATTTAAAAATTGATGTGACCTTTAGGCCTACTTATCCTTTTACAGTATGCTTACTGAACTACCATACTTAAATTCACAGGTATTGTGTGAAAGCAGCTAGAAGACTAAATAACCATAAGCTGAAAGCAAGATGCAGAAAAATTTCACTATCTGTGAGAAGTTTCAAACAGGCCTGCTGCCCTCAATGTTTGGGATTGAGTTCATTGTGGCCCTGGCAGGAAATCTGCTCGCCCTGTGGCTGCTGGTGGTCAGAGAGAGAAGGAACTGGCACCCAGGTGTTGTCCTGTCTTGTAACCTGGCCATCAGTGACCTGCTGTATGTCCTGACCCTGCCTTTGCTGATCGTTTACTATTCACTGGAGAAACACTGGGTGTTTGGTAATGCTGCGTGTAAAATTGAGAAGTTTCTTTTTACATGCAACCTGTATGTGAGCATCTTCTTCATCATGACAATAAGTGTGAACCGATGTGTGGCCCTCGCCTGTCCCTTCTTTACCCGGTCCTATATAGAGTCTGCCCATGCCAAGACCATCAGTGTCATCATCTGGCTCATTGTGGGAGTCATTTCCTGCCCCATATTGATATTTGCCTCCGTTTGCCCCAAAGAAACCAGCAACAAGACTGAATGTGTGTCATTCTGTGACAACCATCATGAGTTTCCCCACTTCGCTTATAAAATGTTTCTTGCTGTGTTTGGTTGTGTTGTTCCTTTTTTGGTTACTTTCACTTCTTACTGTGTGGTAATTAGGCTGGTGTGGAAAAATGTGAGTATAACCACACTGGAGAAACGCAAGATTGCCCTGATGGTCATATCGGTGCTTGTTTTGTATTCCATTTCCTTTGTGCCTTACCATGTCTCTCAGCTCGGTCACTTGTATTGGAGAATCTACTATCCCAGCAGCTCTGACTGCAGGTTCTACAAAATATATCAAGTGTCCAAGGGACTGGCAGCTCTAAACATGTGCATCCACCCAATCCTTTATATGGCCCTGTTTGACAGTATTAGGGTGTTTTGTTGTGGGAACAGCCCAGAGGACAACAGGAGGGCAACAAGAGGGCAACGATGAAGTTGCTTTTCTGTATGTTCTCATTTCATGTTGGGGAAAACCTCAGGAACATTGTATTTCTACACAAAAATTCTTTAGAGAGGAGATCTTGATCTGATTTCTTTGCTTGTTTTTTATATTGACCAAAGTTGTTGTTCTTTTATTATCTTTGAACCACCTGTAATCTAAATATATTTGCTTTTGTAATGTACCTGATTTTGTCTTTCTGATGCACTATATCTGGATAAAATATGAGACCGGAGGATTGTTATTTTAATATATGTTTTTCCAGATGTGTGGACCCATGCATTTTGCTTCTCTGCAAAGATTCATTGCATGACATTTATAGCAGGGAGGAGTTTGTTTTTCAGAAGTTGACAGGAAAAAGAAAAAATGTTATTTGTGCTGATATGGACACCAAAGGACTCCATAATGTTTCCTTCCTGATAAAGACATGATCATCTAAATATAAAGTGTTAGGTAATTTTTTAGTCAGATAGACATTGGTTAGATATTTGTTGTATTAGAAATGTTTAGTGGAGACAGGATGTCTAGCTCAGGCTGTTAAATGCTTTGTCCTTGGCCATATTGCACCCTGCAAGAAACTCATGAGAATGACTACTAGATAGAAAAAGTTTGCAGGCAGGAGGATATTGTTATTATTATGATATGTGTAACCGTAATGGTAATCATAATATTTTCTTATGTGTAATGTCATGACAAGTGATAATATTGTATAGGCATTATGGTTCAGGGTCTTTCATACTTGGTTCTGCCTGCGTGCAGGATCGGAGATGGAAGAGATCTGGACGTGTAATGTTAATTTTACTTGTGATTCTTTGAATAAACCAGCACGGTTATTTTTTATATAATCCAAGTGGTCTACTTCGTCTTTGGGAGTTCCTGGTTACAAAGAGCCGGAAGAAGCTACGACAAAAATAGCTTTTAAAAGTGAAGATATTATACATGTTTACAAGTTTTTATTATCAGAATTTCGTTTGAAACCGAAGTATCGGAATGGGAGACTGTTATTGTGAAGACAAAAGTTAAACAAATTTTTATTGTGAAATTACACGCCCGGAAGTGTGTTTACGCTGTCAACGCGGTTCCGAAACTAAGCTAGCTGAAAGGATGCCGTCGATTGAATACGACGAGTGAGTGTTATTAGAAACTGTTTATTTCTACTCATCACGGATATGCTTTATCAAGTTAATACTGCATTTTAATCTCTTTTCCCCAGCTCCAAGCCCAGCTGGGCCGACCAAGTCGAAGAAGAAGGAGATGAAGGTAAGTAGCTAGTTAGCTAGCTAACGTTATCGCACATCTCGTGTAGTCTGTTGCACAGAGGAGCGGGTCGGCTTCCACGTGGTTGCTGGGCATAATAGTCGATCTAAAAATGTATGTAACGTTTCCTGTGGTGGTTTGGCTGTCCAGTCTTTTGAAGCCGCAAGTCTTTCGTTTGAGGGATTGTCATAACACTGACAATGTAATGATAAATTGTGTAGTCGACATTATGCTATGGCCCTTGAACAGTGACGTAGGCAGTGTGATCCGGTAAACTAGCTTAGCGTTACAAGTTAGCGACTTTTTGTAGAATTGAACGTAATATATGGCTAACTTTAAGTATACAATCTGAAATCAAGATATTTCTACCTTCACATTTGGGTGTAAGGTCCTGGACTACTTCAGAAGTGGAGATGAGAAATTCTGGGGCTAAACCCGCAGACATTCTGAACAGTACTAAGATCCTGCAGGAAGAAAACAGGATGAGCGTTTTTATTTATATATTCCTTTTTACTTTCTTTTCTTATGTTAAATGTAATTTGACTTATTTTGTTTTATCAGGCACATTACCATCCCCCAAGGAAACAATCAAAGGAAATATAAAAACTGTCACGGAATATAAAATTGATGATGACGGAAAGAAGTACAAGGTAATTTGACTCGTATTAAAGTATACCTTGCATCTGTTGACCTTGGCCACAGTGCAGGTTTTTATACTGCTGCATTTCATGGCTTTACCATCTTGTGTCGGCCTCTTCATTAGCAAAGACATGATCTTGCATTGCATTGAACTTGCACCTGTACTATGAAGGGTCGAGGGGTTTGTGGCTGGGGAGTTAGAAATTAATCAAAAGATATTTTGAGTTATTCAAGTTTTCTCATTTTTTTACCATTGTCCTCACAATACTTGTGGATGAAAGCTAGCAACACTTATTGTACATAGTCAAAAGTCAGTGTTTTTTCAGCTCAGTTCTCCCTGTTGTTTTTAAGCATGCATTCATTCTGATAAGTTGCCTAAAGGGCCTTTTCTGTTCATTCTGCTTAAGGTGCTCTGTAAAACCACTTGGGTGCTGTGGGTATGCCTTTCTATGGCAGTAAAATACTAACATTGCTAGAGAGGCATTCAGTTAATCCATCTGTTAAACTACTAGTAAATTTAATCAAATACCACACAGTTAAATTTGTTCTTTTTGATATCTTAACATACTGCAGACTTTTTTTTACCATTGAGCTTGAAAAACAACAAAAGCAATAGATCTAGACATTCACTGGTCTCTGTGTCATAGATGCAAATTTTTGGTTGATTATTGTAAATACAGACCTGTTGAGGTTGTAGCACCCAGTAAAATAGTATGATTTCATACATTTCAACATATTAAATAGTACCACAGTAGTTCAAAGTTCCATAAGTATTTGGTTGTTTTTCTGTTGTAAGCAAAAATCTTGCCTCTGAGAAATACAACTGAACTATGAATTTACTGCCTTTTTGTTCTCTAGATAGTGCGGACCTTCAAGATTGAGACAAGAAAAGCCTCAAAAGCTGTTGCCAGGAGGAAGGTGTGTGTTGAAACAGAATACAGTTGAAACCACATTTATTGAACAAGACTCAAGTTAAAGTCACATGTTATGTATTCTCTGATTTCAGAACTGGAAGAAATTTGGTAACTCTGAGTTTGATGCGCCAGGTCCTAATGTTGCCACCACCACAGTCAGCGATGATGTCTTCATGACTTTCATTTCTAGCAAAGAGGTGAGTATGTGTTCTTAGCAATACGATTTTGTGTTGCTGCTCACTGATGCATAGTGGTCCATATATGTCTGCAAACACACTTAAACTGTGGTATCGGTCTGTAATTTACTTGGATTAGCTTTTGATGGAGTACATCGCCTTACTGCTTGCAGGACTTGAATGCCCAAGACCAGGATGAGGATCCCATGAACAAACTGAAAGGACAGAAGATCGTGTCTTGTCGTATCTGCAAAGGTGACCATTGGACCACTCGCTGTCCATACAAGGACACCCTGGGCCCAATGCAGAAGGAGCTGGCTGAACAGCTTGGGCTGTCCACTGGAGACAAGGAGAAGCCTGCTGGTGCTGGTACATCAGGTTTTTAATTTGGTTTTTGTGGTCTGCTATTAAAACATTGTGGTTGGTGGTTCTTAAAGTTATCATAGCGAAAGTGGATCGCCTTTTCCTGTTTTACCAGCTGAACCAGAGCCTGCACAGCCTGCGCAAAGCAAGACTGGGAAGTACGTACCCCCGAGCCTGAGGGATGGAGGCACGCGAAGAGGGGAGTCCATGCAGCCTAACCGCAGAGGTGGGTATATGTTGATGTGCCTGTTAACTCCATGGACCCATTCTGTATTTGAGCCATTGAGCAATACAGTTACTGCTGTACAATATAAGGAACTATGTGTTTGGACCTGACAGCTGATGACAATGCCACCATTCGTGTGACCAATCTGTCTGAGGACACCCGTGAGACAGACTTGCAGGAGCTCTTCAGGCCCTTTGGCTCCATTTCAAGGATCTATCTGGCCAAGGACAAGAACACTGGACAGTCAAAGGTCAGTGCTTATGTTAAGATTTGTACATGTAATGTTTAAGATATTAAACAGCACATAGGAAAGAAGCCAGGTAGAAATTATTAAAACATTGAGTTTATATGCTCACTTGGCACTGTTAGGTTCACATAGCTAAAACCTATGCAGTCTAGTACAAGTCTTCCTTTTATGACGACAATGTTGTTTTTGTCAAAACTGTTTTTAAGGAGGTGTTGATTCAAGTGTATAATCATTTTGTACTGCTGTTGCCCTATGACTGCTGTTTATTTTGTCTACACTATATCAGTGAGGCTAGGTTAAAGAACAGTTCTCTACATGAACACCTCAGTCAAATGAGGCTTTATTGCACTACCTTTGTTTTAGCTTAGTGTAGATATAACTCTTACACAGCTGCAACTAGATTTTTTTTTTTTTTTTTAAATCTGATGCCTTTTGTAACTATTAAATAAATCCTGTATTTTTGAGTTAACTAGTTGCTATTGCCAGGACCTGTGACCAGAAACAGAGCCATCTCCAGTCAACTCATCCACCACCTACTTGTTTTGTTTTTCTGCAGGGGTTTGCCTTTATCAGTTTCCATCGTCGGGAGGATGCAGCCAGAGCTATTGCAGGGGTGTCCGGATTTGGATACGACCATCTTATTCTCAATGTTGAATGGGCCAAGTAGGTTCCATTCTCAGTTTTGTCAATTAAACATTTAAGCACATTCTGTTCTTGCTGCCAACCTTATTATTCAACTCTCTTTGCAGACCATCCAACAACTAAGGATTCCATCAGAATATATGAGGATGATGCCAGCTTTTGGTAAAATGTCTGTTCCCTAAATAAAGAGCAATTGTCACAATGTTTTCCTTCCAGTTTGCAGCCATTTCAAGTTTCCACACCACCTTTATTCTGACAAATGTTCAGTGCCAGTATTGAAGTAATAGTTATTGGCTTAAAATCCAAGAACCAATGGAACTCTGTTTAAAAGCTGCTTCATCTACAGGTTGAAAATTAAATTTTCAAAGTCAGTAGATGCAGCCTTTCTTGAAATTGTTTGGAAATGTTACATTTTACAATAGCAGTACGGGTACAGTTTCTGGTTTAGCTTTAAATAATCAAACCAAGCTAGTTTACACTGATGTAAATTCTTCAAATTCAGTATTAAACAGTCCTCTGATTTGGCCTCAATAGTCCCAGTACAA